GCTCTCCTTAAATCCCTCCTGATCAGCCAGATCACACTGGGCAGTAAGGCTCGTTCCGTACGAGGGTAAATAAGAGTGGATGGGCTGGCTTGCTCAGCAATGACTTGGGCACAGGGGTGGGTCGAAAACACACACGAAGACACCGCTGCTCATTGATGCTATTCGGTATGTTGGATTGAGGGGAGGGTAGGTTCTAATTGATGCTCAACTGGATAATACCCAATGATCATATATCTGTAACATGGTCTTGGTTTATTATTGATTAGTTGGTTGACAACTGCTAACACCTCACAGACAAATTAGAGTAGGACTGTTGTATACTACCATAGCCAGTTCTATCTAATGCTGCTGTAAGTGAACCAATCAAGATACACCTAGACTATGTTGACAGTCTATTGTGAATGTTGTAGGCTGCCACTTGATCGGTAAAGTAGGGGACCTGCCGGACACAATTATTTTTAGAAAATTAGGTGTCGGTCAGACACATGCTGCGGTAGGAGTCCAGCAGGGGGCTGTAGTGCAGATAGTGTTTGCCTAACTAATGAGCGGGTCAGACATCGATGAGGGTAGAGTTGACGACGTGAGACTTACACGTTCGGAGGCACTTAGGGTCCCGCATGTGTTTCAGGCCTTACAACCGGAAGACGAAAGCCGGCCTTGTGCCGAACGAAGAGCCCGTGCTCTTGCAGCAGCGTTGGCAGCAGCAAACGAAGCAGCTAGAGAGCAGACAACAGCAGCCAGAGCAGCAACAATGGCTAATGGCGCAGACTCTGCTGCGTCCTCGTCTGGGACCCAGTTGGGAATGCCCGTTGTGCCCGGGTACTTCCGGGGCAGTAAGTTCTAGTCAGTCCACAAGTCAAATGGCGGGCTCGCAGTTAAGCCCGTTGACCCCACGCGGCAGGGAGCTCCTAGAGCTCCAACAGGTCGAAAGGATTAGCGAACGGTTAGAGAGGGAACTGAAGCAAGAAACCGACAGAGAAAGAGAGATAAAAAATTGAACAACCAGGCTTGATACATTAGAGGCAGACAAGGCTGCGTTAGAGGGTTTGGATGAGTCAGTAATGTCTGACCAACTGAAGGTATTGAAGAACAATACGCTGTCGTTGCATGCGCATGTGGACAACAGATTGGACTTTATGCAGAACTCGTCTAGACCAGATCTTGGATCTTTTACAAAGGTCAGGATATAGGCCAACAACACAGTCGCCGTTGCCGTTAACGGCGATGTCAGGCCCCTTTCCCGTACAAGCTGGCACACAACCAAGTGGTACGTCTACAGCAGCCGCACAGACTGTTGCTTCTTCTTCTTCGGGTCCAACGGTGATAGCTACACAACCACCGCAACAACCTGTTCCTCAACAGGGACAGCCGCAAGGTCAATGGTACCCTAAGACCCCTATGAAACTGCCTCTTTCCTTCTCAGGAGAGAAGAAGGACGAGGAACTCAACACATGGTTGAGAACGGTTCCGGTATGGGGAAAGGCGAAGAGGACTTTGCAGGAGGAGGAGGTGATTACTGCTGCGTCTTACCTTGAGGGTAAGGCAGCCAAATGGCTGGATGGTTTAGTTGCAAAGGCCGGGTACGGACGACGCATGGCGGACTGGGCTAAGACCACTGCATTACATTAGACCAGTTCTTAGAGATGGTTGAAGCTCGTTGGCACAATCCTCAGCAGGCACACATGGCCACTGATGCGATGCATAGACTAGTCCAAAGAAATTTTAAGTCAGTCAGAGAGCTTACGACTACCGTGGAAAGCCTCATCGTCGTTTCCGACATCAATTACGATAACCAGTTCCTATTGACCACATTTGTGAGATGTCTCCCAAAGAACCTCAGGAATTTGCTGGCCAGCGAGGCTCGCCTCGAGTATCACTCGTTTGAAACGTTATCTAGAAAAGCCTCAGATTTAGAGGCCACTCTAGGAAATGCGCAACCTTCTCAGAATGACGCGAGGAAGAAGAAGAGTCCACAGAAATGGAAGAAGAAGGGGGCTAAATTGATGATGGTTGAGTCCGATGGGACTCAAACAGAGATCGACGAGCTCACAGACCTGTTGGACGTTTCAGAGTACGACGGCGAGGAGATCGCTGAGGGTAGCACCCTCGCCGCAGTAGTTAAGGCTAAGGCTGGTGGCCGAGTGAAGGGTCATCAAAAAAGTCAAGGGAAGGCCGCCTCCAATCAGACCAAAGTTGCTGATTGGGCCAAGGTAGGTCTTGATCAAGAAGTGTGGCGGGACCACCGAGTTCGTGGTGCTTGTATTAACTGTGGTGAATACGGACACACCCAGTACAAGTGTCAGAACGCAAAGGTCACGTAGAAAATACCTCCTAAGATGGGGGCATCTTCTTCCTTGGCTTCTAGCTCGGGAAACACGTGAGGCCGGTGGAAGTTTTAGCTGCTTCTACTCATGGTGAAGTGGGCCAGATACCCTCCCCACTTCATGAGATGGCCATAGCTAATGACTCTTTAGTCACCCCGCATACTCATCCAGACCAACTATGCTCTGAACGTTGGATGTGTCTGAAGCCTTAGAAGATCTGGAAAGTGAGTGGTCAAACAAGGACCCTCGCAAATCTTGGGTGGCACTAGGGAAAGGTCCTAGAGGGGAACATTTCGTGGTGGAAGTCTGTACCTTCTCCTATGGAGGAGGGGAACTTAATCATAAGATTTCGTTCCTGGTTAGCGACGACTTGCCATTCGACATGTTGTTAGGCATGTACTACCTTGAGGTTGCCAAGCCCCAGTTTGACTGGGACAAGAAGGTGCTAAAACATAAGTTGCCTGATGGCAGAAAAGTTAGATTGACTAAGTTTAAAGCCAGTAGCATAATAGATACCTATGGCTGCTTGTGTGCATCAACTTTCTATAATTATTACAAACAAAACCAAGAGGAGGGTATGTACCTTGTGTATGTCTCTGAGAAAGGGGAGGCCGTTAAAACACCACCAGAGATAGAACACGTCGTTGCTAAGTTCCCTGATCTGTTCGAGGAGCCTACAGGAGTCGTAGAAAGGGAGGTTGTTCACGCCAGAGAAATCATTCCAGGGAGTAAAACCCCAAAGGGAAGGATCTATAGGATGGCTCCGGCCGAGTTGGATGAACTTCGGCGACAACTGAAAGAGCTGACAGAAAAGGGATGGATCTGGCCAAGTACTTCCCCTACGGATCTCCAGTGCTATTTGTACCGAAGAAGGGGGTTACATTGAGGATGTGCATTGACTATAGAGGCCTCAATGCCATCACAGTGAAGAACGCAGAGCCTCTACCTCGCATAGACGACCTATTGGATAGGGTGCAGAGATGCAAGTACTATAGCAAGATAGATTTAAAATCCGGCTACCATCAGATCGCAATAAGACCTGAGGATCAGCACAAGATTGCATTTCAGACCAGATATGGTCTTTATGAGTTTGTTGTGATGCCCTTTGGCCTTTGTAACGCGCGGGGTACATTCCAGCACGCCATGAATAGGATCTTCCATGACCATTTAGATAAGTTTGTCATTGTTTATCTCGACGATATTCTGATCTTTAGTAAGTCTGTCGAAGAGCATGCACAGCACGTTGAGACTGTACTCTCACTCTTGCGACAACACAAGTATAAGGTCAACCTAGAGAAGTGTGAGTTCGGACGTACTAAGATCTTATATTTGGGTCATGAAGTATCCGCGGAAGGGATTAGGCCGGAAGATGCGAAGGTGGCTAGTACTCGAGACTGGCCACGACCTCAGACTGACACTGAGGTCAGATCTTTCTTAGGAATGTGCGGCTACTACAGAAATTTCGTAAAGAACTATTCCACAGTCGCCTCTCCTTTGACAGATCTAACTCGACTTGACACGCTGTGGGATTGGAGTGATGAGTGCGAGGGTGCTTTCAAACGACTGAAGCATGCACTCATGAATCATGAGGTTCTCATGGTGCCCGATCCTCAAAAGCCATTCATAGTGACCACTGGCGCAAGCCAATACGACATTGGCGCAGTGCTGGCTCAGCAGGATGGGAAGAAGTTGAGATCGATTGAGTATATGAGCAAAAAGATGCCATCTAAGAAATTGGCAAAGTCCACTTATGAAAGGGAACTTTATGCTCTCTACAAAGCCCTTGTCCATTGGAGGCACTTCCTGCTGGGACGGTTCTTCTACTTGAGAACTGACCATCAGACCCTCAAATGGATCAAGACTCAACCGGCTCTTTCAGATGCACTCAAGCGCTGGATTGAGGTCATAGATCAGTATGACTTCAAGATTGAGTATTTGAAGGGAGAGTACAACAAGGTTGCAGATGCGCTATCTCATAGAGCAGACTACCTAGGGGCGCTAGTTTCTGAGTTTGGTGTATCTCAGGAAGTAACTCAATCGTTGGTGGGAGCCTATCAGGAAGACCCTGTCATGATGGACATCATGCGCAAACTTCAAGCAAAAGACAAGGCCACAAAAAGTGAGTTTGTGATGGTGGATGGGTTACCCTTTCTCGATAAGGCTGGGTGTAAAAGGTTAGTAGTTCCATCAAGTGAGAGTTTGCGTAGTTTATTTCTAGGCGAATGTCACGACGCAACTGGACACTTCGGCTACAAAAAGACGAGTGCCAATCTGGTACAACGATTTTGGTGGCCTGGAATGCTAGATGATGCAAAGAAGTATGTAGAGACCTGTCAGGTCTGTCAGCGGGATAAGCCGCGAACTCAAGCACCGCTTGGGTTGCTGAAGCCCTTACCTATCCCCGCTGGTCCGGGAGAGAGTGTCTCCATGGACTTCATGGACACCCTGGTGACCAGTAAGAGTGGCAAGAGACACATCTTTGTCATCATAGATCGATTCACCAAATACGCTAGACTAATCGCCATGTCAGAGACCGCAAGAACTGACCATGTCATCAAGTTGTTTATGGACAACTGGGTGCGTGACTTTGGACTACCAAAGTCAATCGTTAGTGACAGAGATGTCCGATTCACAAGTGAATTATGGAAGAAGACTGCTGAGCAGATGGGCAATCAACTTCAAATGACTTCAGGGAATCATCCCGAAGCCAACGGACAGGCCGAGCAGATGAACAGAGTTGTACAACACCTGCTGAGGCATTACACCAAGCCCAATCAGGATGACTGGGATGAGAAGTTGCCTCTCATCGCCAGCCTGTACAACAACGTTGTACACAACAGTACCGGCGTTAGTCCTAATCAGCTACACTTGGGATAGAAGCCTAGATCAGCTCTGGACTTCCTCCTACCTGAAAACCGACCCTCTGAAACTCCAGGCACACTTGAGTATGGTGTGCACTATGAGAAGTTGCTGCAGCAAGCTGTCGAGCACATCAAGAAAGCTCAGCAAGCAATGATTGCTTCTGAGAGAACAAGCATCGACGACAGTCCTCATTTCAGGTAGGGGAATGTGTCTGGGTCAAGGCTAGTGGGCTAGGACAGGAATTCGGGATCTCTCGTAAACTAATGCCTTAGTATTTTGGTCCCTGGGAAATCCTGGATGTAGTGGGGGATGAGATGGATGGTCCTACCTATGTTATCCGTATCCCTGGACACCTACGCACTCACCTTGTCTTTCATGCCTCAAAGCTTGCACCTTTCGCTGAGACAGATCAATTCCCTTCAAGGAGATTGATGCTGCCCCCAACCATGGATGGTCAAGTGGACATCGACGATATTGTGGATCACAGATATCTGCCTGTTCAGAAGCCATTGGGTAGAGGAAGACCTCCAAAACCCAAGCGGGAGTATCGCGACAGATTCAGGCATCGTACAGATCTAAAGGAACATCGATGGTTCACCAGAGAGGAACTGATTGACACAACTCCTCAAGTGGTGGCAGAGTATGAGAGAATGTTAAAAGGGAAGGCACCTGCGAAGTAAGCATCTCAACGGACTTTCGAAGCTAAGGGGGATGGAATGTGAGGATTGAGCCCCATGGTGTACATGTTCTGGGCTAAGGCCCCAGCAAGCCTCGTGCCCACCCTAAGTGAAGGCGGGCCAACAAATCAACAAGAGCCCTTTGTGCAAACATTTCACGAAGTGGGGTCCATACAGTTGCAGCACGCCAGTTGGTTGGTGTGCACCGAGTATCGGTGCTCTGCAAATGCAGAAATCCCAGGGCCCCGAGTTGGTTAGGCCCTGGGCACATAAACGTGAGGCCGATAATGCATGCTGGATATAGAGGCCGAAAACGCCAATGGGAAACCGGTCCACTATCTGAATCTGGCCGCAGGCCTTGATGAAAGAGGCGCAACTGCATCTCCTGGGCCCCCAACTGCATCGCGCCTGGGTACAGGTACTGGGGCCCAGGCACAAGCTCAAAGGAGGCCGCCCACACGCAACACTGACATATAGGCAAGCAGGGCGAGTGGGCAGGGATCTTGACCAATGCAGGCATTGCGGGCACGCTGCACATTTGCGAGGTACTGCGCTGTGCAGAGCTGCACTGGGCTGAGGTGAGGTAGGCAAGCGCTAAGCGATAGAGCGCTGCCTGTGCGCAGGGCGCTGGCGGCCATAGCCGGGCTGCCTGTGGGCGCAGAGGAGGAAGGGCGAAGGTGGTTCTTTGGAGGTGAAGGGCGCTGTGTGGGATAACAAGGGAGAGTGTGGGTGAAGAGGGAGACGTACCTGGTGGAGATGGGAGGTCGGCATTGGTGTTGACATCATCACTCGCTGGTCGTCAAGTTGTCTGGTTGCTTTCATACTGTAGTTGTAGTGTTAGGCTGTAGAGTAGGTAGGGCGCCTGACACCATTCAAGAGAGAGAGCTACATTGGGTTATGCTGTTGGTGTTGCCCTGTTGGGCTTGGACATTGACTCACGATTCTCTTGTATCGTTCTCAAATCGATGGTTACTCGATTCAATTGTGCTATCTGCTCTTGCTTTGACTACTTGGACTTCAGTGTGATTTTGCGATCTGGATTTATGTGCTTCGTCCACGTTCATATTCCTAGCAGTTGTTGAAAAAGTACAACTTTTGGTTCGTCAATTTAGCTTCGTGTGAATTAATCCCCCTGTAGCCTGAACTTTTTTTTTTTTTTTTTTCCCCCCCCCTGTATCCTTAACTGTTACGATCCTGGTCATTTCCCAAGTGCAAATTCACAATGAAAGACAATGCCACCCAATTGCGAAAGAAATGAAAGCACTTGCAAAGAGATAGAGACTAGAGGAGAGGTAAAAAAAAAAAGAAGAAGAAGAAGAAGAAGAAGAAGATGTGCACCAGCAAGACCAATGACAATTCCCCCTTCTCTCTCCACCTTCCTCCTCCTCCTCTTCACCAATCTTATTCTTCTCTCAATAATAATAATAACAATGAATGGATGAACCAGAATCAATGTTCGAAGTTCCCTCTTACTGCTGACTGAAGTCAACAACAACAACAACAACAACAACAACAACAACAACAACAACCAGTCCACCATAGCTATGGCTTCCCTCCTTCAGCCTCCTCTCTCATGCATAGGCTATGGCGGACTAATGAGGGCCTTGCCCTAAAGTCCAAAGGACAACCCAAAGCAGCTATGGTGCCGCGCTGATGTCCAAAGGACAACACAAAGCAGCTATGCCGCTGCTGACTGGTCCGC